TATATAAAAAATAAAATTATGATAATATATAATATGATATGATTTAACACAAAAAATAAAAAAAATTGAGTCACATACATCCATAATACTCTCTATATTAGGTAATACTCTGTATTAAAAAGTTAAGCTAAATATTTATAAAAATTCTAGTGCATCAAAATCTGTTACATCAAAGGATTTACTTTGTAATACCATTTAGATATATATATCTATAGTTTGTAGCAAAAACAAATGAATTTTGTGCGCTGTGGGGCCAGGCCAAGCTTGTAGTTCAACAAAGTACAGTGGAAAATGCTAATGCATGCGTAGCTTAGAGGCCAAGCTGCATAAATATACGATGAGCTATAAAAAGCGAAGCACACACACACACACACAGGCACACAATTACAGCTATGCACATGCATAATAAATGCAGTCGCAGTGGCTCGCGCTGCTGCTGAACTACTTACTAGCCAACCGCAACAAGTGCACTCGGCAGCTGCATAGCCACAGTCACACACGCATACATACATATGTATATACACACACGCACACATGCACAGCTTCACTGACACGTAGACAGGTGTGCATTTAAATGACATGTGTCGTCTTCACACTCAAATGCACTTCAAACGCGCGCGCCGCACGCTCGCAACTGGCCAGGCTGAGGCGGAGGCCCAGACCCAGGCCCATGCTGAGGCGCAGTTCAGCCCTTAGGCCCGCCCACAATAGCTCCCGAATACCCTTGCTGTATGCCACTTTGCAACCGCAGCACATATAGCCACAGTGTGTGTGTGTGTGTGTGTGTGTGTCTGTGTGCCTGTGTGTTGCCTTGAAATCTCATGGCTGACATAAACTTCCGCATTAAATCGACTTTGAACTTGAAAATGTTTAGTTACAGGGACGCACACACACACAGACTTGCCTATACTTACACTATAAAGTGTTGCAGTTGCAGTTCTAGTTGCTGTTGTTGGTGTTGTTGTTTCCCCTGTCATTTGAAGGTGAAAGCGCTCAGTTAGCAATTTGCTTTTAATATTTAAACATGCAAAATTATTGCAACAAAATTTTGCGCAGGGAAAATGCCGGCAAAGGTAAAGGTATGTGTGTGGGTGAGCATGTATGAAAGTGTGCGTCAGTGTGTGTGTGTGTTTATTTGTGTTGAATCAGTGCACAGCTAAAGTCTGTGCACGTGCACGAACGTTAGGTAAATCGACAGCCCTGCAAAGTATGCTACGTTTTTTTCGTAGCTTGTTTAGTCGAAAGAAGCTACTCGAAAGCGAATGCGATTGCCAATCAGCTCAGGACTTGTTTTGCCACATGAATACGTAAACATAGAGAGAGAGAGAGAGAGGGTGGGTGGGTGAAGGGGGCGAGCAGAGAAATAAAGGGTAACAGGTAAAGCTAAAGTACATGTGTTTTGTGTGCTAACTAATGCAAACTTTTAATGAGCTCCTTGCCTGCAATTGAAGCTGCAATTGAGACGATGCAAAGAGCAAGTGGCAAGTGGCAAGCGGTAAGCGGTAAGCGGCAAATGGCAACTGGCAAACTGCAACAGCATCAACATCTGCATCAGCATTAGTTTCAGCAGCTACCTTTGCTGCATTTAATTAGCAGAGTTGACGATGTTCCCAAAACTAAACGCAAATCCAATTTGACAAGTGCAAGCACAAAACTTGCATATTAATTGGCTGACATGCATGCACAAAATGCGTCAAACGAGCAGCCCAATTAAAACCAGGCCAGGAAATAAGTCAAGGAAAAAAAAAACAGAAATGTATTTATGCTAAATGTGTCGAATGCAGCTGCAACGGTAAAATGAATATGATTTCCATTTGAAATGCTTTTTTCTTAGATTTAGAGAGTGAAAAGTCTAATTAAAAGTAACTTTCCCAATTGAGTGGCGCTCTTGGGCAATTATAAATGCAGTTTTGATAGCTGCAGTGTTTCTAAGAATTTATGAGTATGTTTATGTTTGAAAACTTGGCTTTGACTTTGAGTTATATTTTAATTTTTTTTCTTTTAATTAATTTTGCTGGCATGGACAAAGCATTTATTCAGAAATCATTTACATTTACTTTTAATGTTCTTTCATATGGAATAGTTTACTGTGCCTCAGAAATTTTCAATGTCTGCTAAATAATTGTATGTATATATTTCTACTACAAAAAATAATAGAAGGATTGGAAGGCTGTTGAGGCAGTCATCTCTGACTCAATCCTGGTAGATGGTCTGCCAGTCTGTCTGACTAGATATCTCAGCATCATCTATCCTTTCATCTATTGACTTCTTTCCAAGATCGGTTCTTTGTCTTCTTTTCCCACTCTTCTACTCTGTTTTTCTTCTTTCTTTTAACTCTTCATATATACTTCACTCTCTTCATCTGTCTACCTCAATCATTCGCTTTCTCAATATCTCTCTAAGAAGAGAGAGTGACAGAGAGGTCCAAAGAGAGATAGCGAGATTGATGCCTCTACTGTCTCTCTTTCTCTACCTTTCTATCATCATACCTCTCTCTTCTACACTTACATGTATGTCTCTCTTCCTACCACTGTCTTCCAGTTACAATCTCTCTATCACTCTTCCTCCCCATCTCCCTTTTCATCTCTCTCGTTCTCTATCTGCGTGCCTCTCACCAACTATCTACAGCTTCTCTCACTTTCTACCTCCACCTGTATCACATGACATATCATCCATTTATCTTTCTCGTGGCCCACTTCACCATAAATTCATTTACAGCAATTACTTTAAAAGGCATTCAAAATATATATCACACTTGCTAATTGCCTCAGTTAAGCACATGCAGCCATGCGGATCACATAAATCTTTAGGGGCTATGCAAACAAACTATTTGTTATAGAGTCTACCTCAGCATGTAGAAGCAGAGCAATGAGTAGCAGCTGAGGGGGAGGGGGTGGGGCTAGCAAAGCGCCTTTTGTTGCCACAGTCGATGGTAGCCTTATGTGAGCTATAAACCGAGCGATAGACGGCACTCACATTACGCATGCAACATTTTCGCGACGCGTTTATGGCGCCGCAATATATACTAGATAAACATAGATATATATAGTTGTACATATAGATATATAAGTATAAACTATATAAGTATTACATGCTATACAGTTACATTTACTATCCATACACACACACACACACACACACACAGAGAGAAGACACACATAAGCATGCGTTGACATTTTACTACGTTTGCCGTTGCTCTGCTCTTGGCTTCTACGATTTTATGCTTCCCACATTTTTATGCCCCACACACTCATTGAAATTGTGCGAAGGAAGGTATATGGATTATGTTAAAGTGTGAGAAGTGTACCTAAGTAGGCCTAAAAGTGCATATAAGTCAAGGGTACAATAAAAGTTAATTGAAGGATTTGCCATAACTCGAAGACATGAGAGAGATCTAAATATTATTATTATTATATATTTAATCAGACAATGTCTGGATAGAATGAAAATATTGTCTTTTTCGAATACCTACTCTATTCTGCTCCTATGGCTGCCGTTATAGGGTATTTCCTAGTCTTTCTTCTCCATTATAGTCTTTTTAGTTTCTAATTTGAACATGCATAGCTTTTCCTCTATATCTTCATTCATCTATAACTGTGGAAATTGGCTTAAAGACTTTGTTTTTCTCTGTCATAACTCAAAGACTATCTTTGTTATAGATAGTAATTTTAGTATACACCGCTCTCCTAAGTCATACACATAGTAATACTATTATATTTTTCAATGCCTCTTCAAACACGCATTATATTCAGGTTACGAGTATCCTCTTAGCGAGGATCATAAAAGCTAGAGGTAGTAAATTTGGTATACACACTTACCCTAGATAAATATACAACATATATACAATACCTACCGAGAATATAGAGATATTGAAGGTATTGGATGATGAATCGTCTTTTATTTCGCATAGCTCGAAGTCTATAAAATCTGTAGATAGTGAAATGGGTATGCATACCACACTTAGGCATATCTAGAATAAACTAATTTTCTTTACTAAATACCTTTTTCGATACCCAAGACACTCAAATAGAGTACCGACTGGTCTGCACTCTCGATTCGAACACTCTTACTTAATGCTTGCTTGCTTGCTTGCTTTTTTATGCGTTTTAAATTTATTTCATGGCTGCAGCGAGCTGCCGCTAGCGATGGCGCCTGTCGCACGCACGCAAACTTCCGGCCACACATACATACATTCATGCGTGTATGTGTGTGATGGGGTAGGGAGCACTGCGACTGTGACTGAGAAATGAAAACAAGTGGCATGCCCGCCTTCATTTTTATTTATCGCGTGTAATTGTAAAAAAAAAAAAATCACGCTAAATTATTTAACAAGCAAATGTGAAAGAAATATTCAAATTCATTTGCACTTGCTGCAGGAAATTGATATATGTGCAATAAATTGTGACGACTTTAGATAGGATTAGGATTATTTAGCTGTAAAATATTTGAATTTTGATAGCTAACACAAACAGAAACATAATTTTATTCTAATTGAATTTCCATTTGCAGCTGGGCGAACGAATGCGGTTTAATGCGGGCCATGCTGGCCCACGCCCACAACAGGTTCACAACAACAACAACAACAACAGCAACAACAGCAACAACAACGACAACGAGAACAACTAGAGAGTAAAGTGAAGTTGAGTTATGTTGCTGGCGGATGTGAAATTCACTTTGAGGATATGAAAATAGCGCATAAACGAGCCATAACACATGCGAACAAACGGAAGAGCTTAAAGGGAGTGCAAAAAGAGGAAAAGTACAGGCAGAGCTTGGTAATACAGCACACGTATACAACACTGCCAGAGCAACAGCAACAGCAACAGTAACAGCAACAGTAACAACAACAACAACAATAGCAGCAGCAAAGTTGTCAAAAGAAAAGTGAAAGCCGAAAACTGTAAACGAGACTTCGTGTAAACACTCAAAAGCTCGTTAACAGAATACATCCTGCCTGTGCCTGCCCGCCTACCCGCCTGCCTGCCCGCCCGCCCGCCTGCCTGCCTGCTTGCCTGGCTGCCTCTCTCTCCCACCCTCTCACTCACTCATTCTGTGAGTGTGTATCATCATCATGTACGTACAACAGCAACGACTGAGCCGTCTGAGTAGCTTCAACTGTCGCCTCTGCCCGGCCATTGCCATTGCCATTGCCATTGCTATAGTCGCATAGTCGCGCTTCCGCTTCCGTCTACGCTCACTCGCCTCATTTCCGCTGCGGCTGCAATTAAGCCAGCTACCCTCTAACCTGCAACAAAACAACAACGGCAAAAACAACAACTACAACTGCAATAAGAATGGCGCGAGCGACCAACTTTAATGGTACGTAACATGAACAAAAACAACAACAACAACAACAAGAAATAGTTAATAATCATAAGTAGCTGCAGCTAAATTCTAAGTGAAAAGTTTTTAAAGCCATTACAAACTCGATTTGCATTTAAATTACATTTACTTAAATAAATTTGTTAAATATGTTAAATGCGGGCTCTTAACTCATTAACTGCAGGTAGATGGAGCAAGTTAGGCGGGAGTGTGTGACTAGCAGATACCCTAAATGTAATGTAGAGAAGAGCAGCTGATATATGTGAATAATATATGTATATACACACACACACACACACACAGACACACATTAGCTCGCATTCTGCTTACTGCGCAGTTTATGCAGCTTTAGGGCTTGGCTTGCGCTTATGAGCTTTACCATGCGAAATTAGTTATTGAATAACTTTGAACTTTGTTCTAGAGGGATTTTCTTAAGCAAATTTTCAGAGCGTGATAATGTTATATGTGTGTAGAGATGTGTAGAGATGGGTATACAGATGTGCATATACTTGTATGTATATATATGTAAGCCAAAGTACAAGTCTCTAGTATTTGACAATTTGGGGACGGAGGAGATGAGATATTCAATATTTCAAATAATCAATGCATATGCATATTGCTTACATAAAGTAACACAGTAAACCTATAACTTGCATTTCTTATGGCAGTCAAACATGCTTAATAATGAAATGAAATTTTCAATTTATTTATCGAATAGCTAATAAAAACTGTAGCACATAAAAATATATATTTGCAGAAATTCTTAAAGTAAATTTAAACTTTTTATCTTTAAGTCAATATCTCTAATAAATAAATAAATAAATAAATAAAATGTTATGTCAAATTACGGTGAAAACCAAAATTAATCGATTTGCCTATCGATTTAAGATATACATTATCGATTTATTATTTAAATGATCGATTTTTGATATAATCAGTTTATGATTTAAGTTATCGATTTGGGATGTAAACTAGCGATTTATGATATTAGTAATTATCGATATATAATATAATGGATCAATTTATGATTTAAGTTATCGATTTCTGATATAAACTATCGATTATGGTATTAGTTATTGAACAGAAAATGATAAACTTGACAAAATGAATAAAATATGCCATATACCTTCACTCAGAAGCTTTTCGGCTTCGCTTCAATGTCATTCGAGACATTTAGAGCATTCTTCACCCGAATTTGGCTTTTGTTTTTATTTGCCACTCATGCAGCCCAATGCTCCTGTTGCATATTACAAACCTATGCCTAATGCCTAGCATATAATTTTTCAATAAGTGTAGGGTATAAGAACGTGAGCCCTTTAATGTGAGTGCAGCGAAGACTTCAGCCTCTCAGAGGCTGTAGAATCTAACCCAGTTTAGATTTATACAAGTTACAGAAAATTAAGTGCTTACTAAACAAATTACAATATATTCAAAAATCCATCAATAGTTAAGCACCTTTAGCACATTCACATAGGCAACATTAAGTCTCATTAAATTGATATAGCTAATCGAATAAAATTTCAATTTCAATTGCAGATGCGCTGGACTACATCTACATAGCCAACAGCATGGATAGCAAGGCCTATCTGATAGCCGACCCGCGGCCCGACGAGCCAGCCGATGAGGATATGGTGCAGCAGGCGGAGGAGGAGGAGGAGCAGGAGGAGGAGCAGCAGCAGCAGCCGCAGTTAAATGGCGGCGACAGCAATAACAACAGTCAATACTACAACGATGGCGACTTTCCGAATACGGCGGCAGCTGTGGCAGCTGTTGCGGCCGCGGCTGCCTTGGAGAACAATGCGAACAGCAGCTCGCCGAGCTTTCCCAGCCCCAATAGCTCACCTGGCTCACCGCTGGCGACCGCAGCGCTGGCAGCAGCTGCGGCCAGCGCCTCGGTGGCGGCGGCTGCAGCGCGCATAACCGCCAAGGCGGCGCATCGGGCGCTGGGCAGCAAAGCGGCTATCGACCTGATCGATGCCGATGGCAGCAAAAGTGCGGACAATAATTATACGAATGTGGCTGTCGGCCTGGGGGCGATGCTGCTGAACGATACGCTGCTGCTGGAGGGCCTGGGCAACGAGACGGGGGGGCTGGGCATCTTTGGCGATGTGGTGAATGGCAGCGGGACGCTGTTAAATGGCAGCGCAGCGATCAATGTGACGGCCAGCAAAGTGGCCGAGGATGACTTCACGCAGCTGCTGCGCATGGCCATCACAACGGTGCTGCTCGGCCTGATGATACTCGTCACGATAATTGGTAAGTGCAGGCAATAAAATTTGTAAAAACATGGAAAGCTCATTAGGGCCGAAAGCCAATGGCCAAATGCGTAAGCCAAAGCCGTAGCCTAAACATAGACATAATTATTTGCGCGCCACAGACAATAAATGCCATGGACTTCAGTCTCAGGCACGCGCGCGCGTGCCAGCAAATCCGATGGGGAATATGGCAAACAATTCAATAAGGCAAACGAAATGACAGCATGAGCAGGAGCAGGAGCAGCAGCAGTAGCAGCAGTATCCGTAGCAGAGCAGCAGCAGTATCCGTAGCAAAAGTTCTGGCAGGAGGCGGATGGCACATCAAGTGCTTTCAAAGATTTTTGCGCCTGTTCAGCATTTTCGGCTCAGTTGCAGATAATAAAATACGCGTAACTGATATTTATGGCTGCTTCTGAGCCATTGTATATTATTTATTATTTGATTTTATTATACAACAACAACGACAATAGGAGAAGCGCTCGTTATTAATAAGGCTGCGCATTGTTGTTGCGCAACATTCATTACACGCATTTAGCCATAAATCCAAAGGCAAACAGAAGACAAAATCTATACGCTACACTGAACTAGGCCAGCGACGCAGCGACAGGCTTGCCGTATTCAAAATGACAGACAATCAATCAATCAATCACAGCTTCACAGCCCAACAACAACAACAACAACCACAGCGTTTGCTGTAAAACACAAAAACATTCAAGTGTGTGGCTGACGAAAAACAACAGCAAGCAAATGGGCAAACAAACAGCAGGCAGGAGACGGCGGCCAACAGCAATCGGCAGCAGGCAACAAACAGACAGCAAATGGCTAGCAGCAGTAACTGAAATTGATTTCATTAATTTAAGTAGATTTCATTTTCATTTTCATTTCATTTCATTTAAACGCGCCCCGTCAAAGTCAACAGCCCAAAAGCATAAAAATCAAAATATCGCGCCCTAGAAAGTATGCTACACTTTTTTTGCAGCACATTTGCTTTGCGCCCATTCACATATTTGTACAATACCCTGCAGCATTTGGTGAATGCTTAAAGTGGGTATATTGKTTTCTGTGAGAATGCATTTATAGAATATATTTTATATAATTATTATAGAATTTTAAGAAAATAATTGCAAGACTAACATATATTAGGCATTTATGTGAAGGAAAGTTTTATGAATGATGGACAGGCCATTATAATTAGAATTTTTTAAGTCGGCTCTCCCATATCTCCTTATCTATCAAAACCATCTCAAGTATCGCAGCATTATAGGGTATTCACTAGTCGTATATTCCCTCACAGGCACACTCCTAGACTCTTTGCTTTTACTTTCATTGCTCTCATCTGGCATTCATTTTGATTTGCTTCTAATTTGTGTTTTTTTTTTTTTTTTTTATTTATTTTCTGCTATAGTTTTAGCTTGGTGCCTCGCTCGCTTTCACACTAAGCGTTGCCATTTCGCATTCTCCATTTTCCATTTTCCATTCTCATTTTCATTTTGGGTTTTCACTTTTCGACATTTTCGTTTCTCGTTTTTCGTTTTCATTCAGATTTCATTTGAGTTTTCCTCACTTTTGAACTTGGCAGTGGTTGCATTTGCTTTGAATGCTGTTTTGAGTGCCAGCATTTAGCATATAAAAGGAAATGCTAATGAGCTCTAATGCTAATTTCCCGAGCAGCCAACAAGAAAACTAGGCGAAATGTGAAATGTGAAAAGTAAAATGCTGTCCAATGGCTGCTCTATTTGTGAGCTAACTGCAAAACAAACAACAACAACAACAACAAAATAAAATAAAACCAACATAAAAAGAAAACACCACATAGTGAAATAAAACAACAACAATAGCTGACCCAATTGAAAACAAGTAAGAAAATTATGCTGAGTGACAATGACTGACTACATAATACTCGTTCAGGAAAACTAATTGTATGTAGATATTCGCTTCAATATTAAACATCTTTAAACATTTTAAGGATCTGAGGATGTAAAGTTAATCAAGAAATGGCAAGGCTTCGTGATTGCAGCACTAAAATCTTCTATTGCCTCATGTCTGCACTATTTTCCAAATAACACTAAGCCTATATACTCCCTTTACTTTGGACACATGCACACAAATGGCTTGTTTAGTGGGTTGCTCTAGATATTGTTTGCGTTTGCTTTTTGAACGACTTTAAATGGTCGTTTAAAAAGCATCAGAGACACGAAAGCAAAAACGGAGAATCTGATTAGGACTTAATGTGGATTTAATATAAAAGCTGATTACATGTCATGCATGTAGTAAATATAAACATAAATAAATATGAATATAAATAGGTCCTCCTTACATTAATCTAATTAAGCAATCATTTACATGATTTATTTATTAAACAATATTCAATGCGGCGAAGAATTTCATCTACTTTCTTTTGCTCAAAATGTAAAAATGTTTGGATATATATATTTTTATTATTAAGTTAATATTTTCTGTATACATATGTATGTAATATGTTCTTTATATATATTGTATATATTGTATTAATATATTTAATATATATAAATTCCTTTGTTATCTATTTATATTCCCCAAAATATTTTGATTTATATATTCTATATACAACAATTAATAAAATAACTATTATAAATTAATTTCTTTTTAAATTCTTTTAAAAAATTCGGCCTTTTTTTATTTAACGATTACAATTTCAAATAACTGTCTTTGCTTTCACTTTATGTATATATATAAAGCTCAGCGTTTATTCACGCCTTTCTTTCATGTAGCTTTTTAATTAAAAAATTAACAGCTTCGCCCGCTTGAGTTTATGTGAAGTGTGCACTTAATTACTTTTTAATTTGTTAATCAATTGAAACGTTCTTCAAACTCATTTATTTCGAATTGATTTACTTTTGATTTATACGTATATTTAATTTGATTTGATTTTTATTTTTAATGTGCTTAAGCTTAAATTAATTTTGCAATTTATAGCCAATGATCATTTGAGTTGATTTCATTTATTTTGAACTGCAGCATTAAACTGTGTGGAAAATTTTCAATGGTCAGGCGATTGGAAGCAGATATGAGAAAGGTGTATAAGAAAGACATATCCATATAAATTTTATTTAGTAAATGAAAATGATAGTAGCTAAGAACGCCCCTAAAGAATATATGAATAAATGTATGTATATACATATCTGAAGTCATATGTATATTTGTTCCTTAACCTATAATTTTATTCAAGCTTAGATATTAAATTTATATTTCGATATTAAATTTATATATCAACTATTTTTCTTCTACCTAACTTGGACAACTTATATAAATAACAACTCAAATTTTGTTATTACATACATTTCACTGGCGTTAAATTTCTTACAATATAAATATGTATATACCTTAAGAATATGTATAAAGTAAAGTTAGGTTTACCTGGCATTGGCTTGGCTTTGGCTTTGGCTTTCGCTTCAGCTGACAACTTTAAGCGTCACCCTCAACAGGCAGCAACACCAAGAAATATAGACAGACAGCCACACGCTGAGAGTGAGAAAGAGATAGAAAGAGAGCGAAACAACGCGCGGCAGACCCTCGGCTTGCCTTCACTTTGACACTGAAGTGTCTAATTGCATGTGTATTCCTTTGTCGGCGCACCTGACAGGTGTCCGTGTGTGTTGCTATGTGCCACAAATTGCATGTGTTGGGCGCAATTCTTTTGCTGCAGCATTCAAGTGTGCCACAAGTAGTTCTGACAGCGGGCGCACAAGAAAAATAATATATACACACACACAAACACATACACACACATATACACACATATATATATAAAAGATATATGTTATATGTATATAGACAGCTTTTGGCTTCACATCAAAGGTGGCGCCAGTGTTGGCTGTCAATAGTGCCACGCCCACACAGTCAAATGGGATGTCGGACGCAAAAAGTTTACGACAACGCGATTAGCTCATGTCGTTTATTTTGGCTTTAGTGAACTTTACTCGGCATCGGCTCAAGTGCAACAGAATGTGGCAAGAGCAAAAAGGGCCACGAGTGGGGCGCGATGTGGCGTGGCAGAGCAAAACTACGTTGGCAATTGTGCACTGATATTCGGTTACAGTGAGCGCGTTTCCTCTTGCTGTCTCATTCACTTTCCTTCTCTCTCTCTCTCTTTCTCTCTCTCTCTCTCTCTCTCTATCTGTCTCTGCCTTTCACTGCCCCTTTAAATGTGTTATAATGCAGCAGCTCAGCGAGTTTCAAGCAGCAGCCAAGTTTAATAAGATTCCCATTTCGTTTGGCCACACGGCTCTGCGGCGCAGAACTTTCGTAATTCTCACAAACTTTATTCCGTTCGTTTGAGTTTCGTTTTCATTATACACTTGTTTCAATGGTATTATAACTATGTCGCAGAATTTGTAACAAATAAAGGAAGAATTTAAGGTGGAAGGGGCTGACAGTTGCTCAACGTAGGATGTTTCATGCATTGTATGCATTTATATAGTTTTATATGAGTCTAGAGCGTTTGTGTCGAATAAATACTTTGGCTTGTCTGTAAGCTTCTTTAGACTCAGCTACTACGCTAGACTTAATCTTATATCACACTCTGCTTAGCACGTACCATAATTCGAGGATCCAAATCATGTAGATTAAGCTTTAGATGTGCTACAAAGCTAGTTCAGAGTCTAAAATTCTCAGGTCTACGAGAGTAACTCTTAGAAGTAAGCCACTCTAGACTCGGACATAGACCCAGACCTACACAGCTCGAGATTGTATATAAGCTAGATGCTTGAATACTCTGCTATAGCTCGAAGTGCCTACGTTAGACTCAGCTTTAGTTCGAGCCTGCTCTAGTAGTAGTGTTAGGTCTAGCTACAATTTATATACTCTGCCGTAAGAGCAAGATCTCTTTGACATGAGATTCTCAAGCCCAAGTTCTTCTTATTACTCTTTTTTTTGTCCTCATACAAGCCATATATATAATTTTTTTGTTTAAGACTGTTTCACTCACTGAAAGTCATTCACTGCCGTTAGAGTATTCCATAGTCGCTAGTCGCTCTCAATGCATTTTCCTTTTAATTTTTCTTCAGGTTTACGTACATTCGTACTCGTACTATTCGTTTGCGCTTTCGACTTTGGTTTCGGTTTGCAGCTGCGCTTAAATTTGACTTGCCAACGTACTTAATTGAATTGAAAACTTTGCGCTCAAGTCAATTTTCGCAATTAGTTCGCTGAACAGCAGCAGCAGCAGCAGCTTCATCTACTGGCAACAGTTCGTGCAGCTGTCATTGGCATTTCCTTTACATCTCTCTCTCTTTTACTCTTCAACTCTCTCTCACCCCTCTATCAATGTCTCACTCTAAAGAATTAGTACAACTTCCTCAACAATTGCAGGCAACGTCTTTGTGATAGCTGCCATTATACTGGAGCGCAATCTACAGAATGTGGCCAACTATCTGGTTGCCTCACTGGCCGTGGCTGATCTATTTGTGGCCTGCCTCGTCATGCCCCTTGGCGCCGTCTATGAGGTGAGTACCCCAGTTCTTAGCTTAACTTCAACTACAACAAATTGGTCCCTCATGTTGATGGCTAATTAAGTTGCTTAAGAGTTTTTAGCTGTTGGCTTCAAAGTCAAATTTCAACATGCCAAACCCATTAGAGACTTGGCTTGATTAGTTTAAGGGGTAAACTATCGATTAGCTCATCGAAGCATTCGACAGTTGTATAATGTACAGCTCTTAATATATAAGATACGCAGAGAAAGTAATCTCACATGCCAAACTCTCTAAACTATTGGCATACTGATAGACGTAAACAATCTATCGATAAAAACCAGACAGGTTTAATTACGTTATTTGCTAGAAATAATTAATTTATTGATTTGAAAGCAGCTCAGTCAGCTCAATTCGTGATATACTCAATTTATATAAATTCTATAGCAAAGCTATCGATAGTAGAATCATAGTTTGATACTATCAATATTTTCATAAATTTTGTACGATCTATCTATCTATCTAGTACCTAAGTCTAAGACGATTTCAGTCCAAGATAGTCTGTGTTGACTGTAGACATTATATGGAGACTATCGATAATAAACAGCAGTATATCGATCATTTTATCTGTAATTTTAGCAGTTATCAATGAGTGTTTTAGATTTACAATAACTAATTGAAGGTTATCGATAACAAAATCGACAAGTTTCAGATAAATAGCATATCGATAGACAAGTTCCAGATCAATACCTTTTCAATAGCTTATAGCTTTTGCTAAAAGAGGATATTTAGGTTCTTCGATAACAAAATCGATAAATCGGAGATAAAGTCTATCGATAGTTTACTGTGCATATAAATCCTACATTTTAATGGGACTGTGCTTCAAACCATTTAACAATTGATAGTTCAATTTTCGATGGCAACTAGCTCAATAATCGATATAAAAACATTTTTCCAGTTAAACATTTTAGATTAAAATTAAAGTTATAAACGACTCCAAGTTTAAAGCTCAGCAATCGCTTATCGGAACACTTTTTTTTTATCGATTTTTAAGTACCACTAGACACAGGCTTTCAGCAAGCACTGTCTAAGATGTAGCTCGAGTTTTGCTGGCCGAACAAAAGCTTAAACGTACAACAACAGTCAAGGCATCAACGCTACGCTCAATTGTCGTCCGGCCCAGCGGGGCGAAGGCTTTGGCCATTTAAGGACAGTGCAATCGTTGTTTGCACAGTTATTAGATGACATTATGGTCAGGCCTCGCTTGAACTCCTCCCCAGCGTGACATCAATTTTAATAAGCCATCAACTTTTATTGTCTTTTTCACTGGCACTTGGAGCCCCCAAGCCATAACTTGATGTGCCATCTCTCTCTCTCTCTCCCTCCCTCTGTCCCTGCCTCTCTCTATCTGTTTGCTTATCGCCCTCACAGATCAGCCAAGGCTGGATTCTTGGACCGGAGCTGTGCGACATTTGGACCTCATGCGATGTCCTCTGCTGCACGGCATCGATTTTGCATCTGGTTGCCATTGCTGTCGATCGGTAAGTAATTACATTAAGAGAAACTCGGCCAGAAAAAACACACACACACACACACAAGTAAAAATCAACACATTTTGATAAACGACCCACAAAATCCACTTGTAAGCGGCGTGTAAAACAAGGCTGGATACAATTTTTAGACGGGGAACTGAAAAAAAAACGTGGCTGTATTCTGTCAATATGTGGACGATAATGTGTGTGTGTGTGTGAGCTGAGCAAATCAATCAATCAAGTTTTTAGCATGTCAAATCTCTTTACAAATCCACTTGGCAACAAAACGAAACGCACATTAAGACACATAGCAAAAAAAAAAAAAAGGAAAAAAAAAAAAAAGAAATAAATAAAGCAAAGGGAATACGTGCAAGCACTTGAATAATGTGCAGAAGATATTGAAAGTGCCCTAGATAAATATTTTTAGAATTCATCAAATTAGGAGAAAGGGTCAAAATAAACATTTTTAAGTTATCTATATAAAAAATGTTTACAGAAAAGATCAAATTTGCGGCTGCTTTACAGAGAAAAAAATATTTTTTGCAATTTATGTATGGATAAAATATAAAAATATATTATAATGAGAAAAGTTTCTTACATATATTTTCTATCAGACTTGAATCAATTGTTATGGCTTCCTTAAAAAAAATAATAATAATAAAAATAATAAAAATAAAAATAATAATAATCATAATAAAAATGAGAATAATAATAATAAAAATTTTTTTAGCCATGAAAATTTGTACAAGAAAAATAAATTTAAAAGAATTGTATATAGCAAAAATTGTTTTAAAAAATAATAATACGGAGTCTTGAACTCAATTATGAAAAAAAAAATCAATTTAAAAATATGTTAAATTAACTAAGATAAAAATGGGTACAAATATTTTTTATTTCAATTCTTAATATAGTAAATCATTTGTTGATAATTACTGTCTTTTGCCGATTTATATTATTCTTCTTCTTCTTTACTTCATTTTTTGCCTGTTAATCAGAAAAAATTTAGAAAACTAAATTGATATAATGAATAAATCAAATTTCTGGCGGAAAAGTACTAGAACATTTTCTCAATTCAAATTTTAAAGTATTCCTAAAATAATAATTTATTTATATATTCTGCCCATTTGTGTCGCATAAGCAAATATATTCTATAAAAGGGCAACCGAAAGCCTTACGAATCCTTTCAAATTTGCTGTGATATTTGCAAATATAATTGAAGCTATTATTAGCTTTGCCCTAGCTTAGCAATTTGATTTAGAGAGCCGCTTTGACATAATGGGAAATGCGATTTCCATTCAAAACCAATTCACAAAACCATTCACAGTGAGCAGCCAGCTGTTGTTCACAATCGATATGTGCCCAACAAGCAGAAACCGCGTCCAACTGTCGCGCAGTTGAAATCCAGTGCGTGTGGATGTGACTGTGTACATGTGTGTGTGTGTGTCGAAGTGTACGTGTACGCGTGTGTGTGTGTGTGTGTGCCGTTAATATGCTTTGCCATTTAGGGTTGACAAATCCATAGGCTGTGTTTACGCCTGCCTGACTACGTGGCTGCCAGCTGGCCGTCTCGCCTCCTGCCACATTATGGCTATATCAATTTAAAATAAATTCTCACTTATTGAAGCGTATGGGGCATGTAGCATGGCTCGCTGCATATCATCAATCAATTTGCTGCAAACATTTCAATCAATCAATCGTATTGAGTGGAGCGACAACACAACCCAAACCCATATACAAACTCAGCCAACACTACAAACGGTAAATGAAATGAATTTCATTGGCAGCCCCTGAAAAGCGAATCCAATGCCCAATCGGCATTTAGTTGGATCTTTGTGGCTGTTAGGCATATTCATTAGGCGAAGTGCTCAAGGCAATGCCTCAATGTCAGCTCATTTTAGCTGCAGTTGACGACAATAGTCGAACGAGCAGGGGACAACAACAAAAAAGTAAACATATACAAGTATGCTTGGCACACTTAAATGCACACTGGCGCACGGCGCGTATACGTAATGTGCGCAAATTAATGCAATGGGCCGGAGCAGCAGCAGCAGCAGCAGCAGCCACAGCCACAACAGCCGTTGCAGTGCATTTAATGAACACTTAGCGCACCCCAAATTAGCAGCAGCAGCAGGAGGAGGAGCAGCAGCAGCAGGAGCAGCAGCAGCAGCAGCAGCAGCAGCAGCAGCAGCAGCAGCAGGAGCAGCAGCAATGCCGCCTGAGCCACAATTTGTTGGCCATGCCACAGGGCCTATGCTCAATGCCATATTGTTCGCTCTTGCAGTTGACTGCCGTTAGAATTTCACAATTTTTGCATGGGACAACATGTCATTGGGTCATTAATTGGCTAAGCTGCGGGTCAAAATGTGTTTCCAAATTATTTGGTGGTTTCAATTAGTGCAGCCAGCCAGAAAAACAAAGCAGCGGCCGCAGCGCCAAACCAACAATAAATTATGTAAAATACAATACAAACAAACTGGCACACACACACACACATGCATACTCTCCCATATATGTATGTGCAACAAATTGTATTTATTTTTTAGTTACGCACAGGCAATTTCAATTATGTTTATGCGCACGCGGCGTATGCGCATTCCAGCTGCAGCTCATTAAAACTAAGCTTGGGATTTGTAAATTGTTATTAGTTTTGCACTAATTGATGCATCTATCTATTTATTCAGTTGGCTGCGGGCTGGACACCAGACGAGATTTTAAACAGTATGCAATTTTAGATTGATATGCAGCGGGTGCAATTAAATGAATTAAAAGTGTTGTGGGTGGACGTGATGGAGCGAAGCCGATTGACGAACATATTTCAAGCAAATTAAAGGTCACAGTTTAAGTGAGAAACTTTTGAATATTTTTAAATGGGTAGTTCTCATATAGATGAGGAGCTGGTAAAACAATCTATTATATTATTTAAAATTTGAGCTGAGGAAGTATTGTGTATTTTTAATTTCCTCGATTTAAGATCAAATTTACGAATTTTGAGTTTTATGTAGCATATATCTCATATCCCTCACTTATATCGATGAAAGTTGAGGCATTCTGAATGCTCAGTTAATTTTCGACGGCTGTTTTGGTTCATCTACGATTTTTGCCTATTGTTAAATACAACAAAAAAAGAGCCTGTAACTAATTTCATAACAAGAACAACACCAATGCTGCGGTTTAGCCCCAACCTTGGCCCCTGGGACCTTTTTCATTGATTTCCCATTAAAGGCAAGCGTTACATTTTGATTGAGAAGATAAAGATGGCATTGAAGGGGAAGATTGCAAGATTAGATCAAGTTGATTTGATGTTATGAAGTGCTTCGAGGCTTAAAAAAAATTAAGTAGTCATAACAGATGCTGACTAATGGGCAAATGGACAAATAGATTTTCATAAAAAAATTAATAAATTTTTGGGAAAATAAATAATGTTGATTTGGCGGTTAATTTTGAAGAAAGGGAGTAAGTAAGGTATTCTCCCTTTCTCCCTCTCCCTCTCCCTCTCTCTCCCTCTCCCTCTCTCTC